TATATATATATATATATATATATATATATATATATATATATATATATAAAATCTGCAAATGGAAATCCCAGAGTTGGAAAGTACAATAACCAAGATGAAAAAAATTCACTAGAAGGGCTAACAGTAGATTTGAACTGGCAGAAAAAATAATCAGTGAACTACAAGAGAGATCAATACAGATTATGCAATCTGGAGAACAGACAGTAAAAGGAATCATGAAAAACGAACACAGCATCAGAGAAATATGGGCCGCCATTAGGTGCTCCGACATATGTGTCATGGGAGTACCAGAAGAAGTGGAGATAGAGAGAGGGCCAGAAAAATTATGCTAAGACATAATAGCTAAAAACATCCTAAATTTCATTAATGAACTTTAATCCATATGTTCAAGAAGCTTAATGAACTCCAACTAGGATAAATGCAAAGAGACTAATATCCAGATATATCATAGCCAAAATGTCAAAATCCAAAGAGAAAACATTGCAAACACAAATGTAACTGCAGAACAAGCTCAAAATGGTCCTATCCTGTTTAAGGAGATACTGAGTTGCTTTTCAGAGACTGCAGACCAAGGCTGTAAGTCGTGCATCCAGGGCATGTGCAGAGGAGAGAACTTTAGCCTCCAGCTGCACCTGGGACCAAAGTCTTGTCCCCTAACTCATGGAACCAAAGAACCAGGGCATAACTGGAACTTGAACACCAGAACCCTTTCAGAAGCCGATGGTCCATTGTCCAGGAAGGTCCAGTGTTGATGCCCCTTTACCATCAATGGTCAAGTTCCGAGGTCCTCCAATTAAAACTTACTCCACCAGAATTTCTGCATACCTGTTCCTCCAAGCCCCTTAAAAACCATTGGCCTGATCCAATGAGCAAGATGGAATTGAAGCACCACAAGGTCTCCCATCTTCTTCTTTGGTGCCTTCTTAATCAGTAAACATTTCTTTACTCCAAACTCTGATGTTTTCAGTTTTGGCCAAGTGTCAGGCACATGGACTTCGGTCTGGTAACCAATGAGAAAAATCACTCTTTACATACAAGGTAACCCCAATAACATTATAAGCTGATTTACTATCAGAAACAATGGGTTCAGAAGACAGCTAAGATCATTCTTAATGTGAAAGTTTGAATAGTTTCTATCCAAGATCAGGAACAAAACAACAATGCTGCTCTTGCTACTTCTATTTAATATTGTCCTTGAAGTTCTAGTCAGGGGAAGTTAGACAAGAACAAAGACATTAAAGGCATCAAATTGGAAAGGAAGAAAACCATCTCTATTGTGGATGACATTGTATAGAAAATTGTAGGAATCCACTAAAAAGCTATTAGAACTAATAAGCAAGTTTGGCAAGGTCACAGGATCGATCAATATACAAAAATCAATTGTATTTCTATAGACAAAATAAAAATGAAATTAAGAAAATAATTCCATTTACAATAGCCTTAACATAATAAATTACCTAGAAATAAATTTAACCAAAGAACTGTAACAAATGTAGTCTGAAAACTACAAAACATTTTGAAAGAAATTAAAGAAGACCTAAATCAATGGAGAGACTTCCAACATTGACTTCTGCCGGATTCTCAGCCTGGTCCTGTCCATTTCTCTCCTGCAGCTCCATTCCTCTTAAGCTACCCTCTCCCCACCCAAGGTTCATTAAGCAAATCTCCAGCCCCTAGGCTTCTTAAGCTCCTCAAAGAACCCAAGGTATTTCACAACGTACTGTATTTGCCATGCTGGGAACTCTGAGTGGGTAGCAAGGGGGCCTACAATGACAGACGACTATCCATGACATTACTGTCTTTTTTATTTTTGACATTACTGTCTTTACAGTCCAACACGCTACCTGCTGGGGGATGGCAGAGGAAATGAAAGCTGTTAGTGACTCTCCATAGAAACCACGTAAGACCCGCCCCCTACTTTAACAATCTAACTTTCATCTCTTTGAACTCACACCCGGACCTTGCCCACCATTTAACTACCTAGGCAGTGTCCTCTCAAGGCTCTGCCTACAGAAATAACTGTCCTTATCCCTCCTTCTTAAATAATAATCCTGGGACCGGCTATTTGAATCATCCTCTGGACCTCCCTACTTCCCTCTAAACACGCAGACCCTGCCCCTCAAATAACCCTCCAGGTGCACCCTCCAGGATTTGACTCCTGAACATTCCAGGCTCCGCCCTTTAATTAGCTTATACACCTGAACCATTTTCGACATTTCGAGCCCCGCCCACAATGCGTTTATGGGACCCACCCTCTAGACAGCATTCCAGACCCGCCCCTTAGCTAAGTGCCGGCCTCCAACTCTCTCCAGGCCCAGCCTTCTCAGAAATGCCATTCTAAGCTTCGCTGACGGAGATAACCATCCATCCTCGCACCTTCAACTAATCTTCCAACACTCACCTACTGCAATAGCCCTCTCAAGTGTCACCTCCTAGAGCAATAAACTAAGATAACCACAAGGCCCGCCCCCCCCAACCTCCCTCCGAGCCCCGCCCCTCTAACTCACACCTGCCACCTCAGAACTCAGCAGAACTCCAACCCCGCCCCCCCGGGGAGGCCCTGCCCTCAACACGCACCATCCTTGGGGAGCAGGCGCAGTGTGGCGCCGGCCTTGCGTACCAGTGCCGCCACGTCGGCCGCAGCTCTGGCCGCCAGGGGGCGCGCATCCAGCCGCTCCAGGAGCCGCCAGGCTCTGGGACCCGCCCGCTGCGGAGGGCGGCGGCCTGGGCAGCGGAAAAGCACAGGTCAACACCGACCCCGAGCCTCGGCGAACCCCGAAGCCCTCCGACGTCCGAAGACTAGAATGCCCCTCAGGATCCCCGGAGCCCCCCGACCACTCCTTCGACAGTTCCAGAGGTCGCCGACTGTCCCTGTCATCTCCCGCGAACCCCGGCCATCGCGGGTACGCGCATGGTTCCCCGCTGGCCCCCACGATATCCCTGGAGACAGCTATTTGACCGCCGTATTCCTGGACACTCCGAACACTCTGTGACTATCTCTGGACGCCTCCGACTGCCCCCTCATAATTCCTTATTCCAAACTCTTTCCCCGCAATATCAAGAGGGACCCCGATTCCCTCAGATGTCCCGAGAGAACACGGTCTGACCCCCTGTGGCCCTGAGACCCTCGATTCCCCTCCAGATACCCTAGGCAACCTTGGTGGCCCACGTAGCCTCACATTGCCCCTCCACTTATCCCCAGAGGCCCCCGCCTAAGACCCTGCAATTCACCAGAGACCGTAAGTGCCCAGGTGTCCCCAGTGACCCCGGGCAGAACTCTCTGGCACATCTCCCGGAGACCCCTGAGAGCCCCCGAAGCCGGTGCGCAGCCCTGTGGCGCGGGTGCGGGTGCGGGTGCGGGTGCGGGTAGCGGGCCTTGAGCCCAGTCGAGGTCGCTGGGTCACTGCCCGCCGCCGCCGCCGCCGCCGCCACCGCCGCCGCCGCCGCTCGGGCACCAGGCCTGCCTTGTTTACCACCTGTCGGAAGGGAAGGAGCAGACAGGCGGGGCCAGGTGTGGCGGGGACGCGCCTACCCCACCCCCACCCCCATACCTCCTCTGCTCCCCCTAGGGTCCGTGGCGCCCCGCGCGCGCGGCTCCATGACCTGGAGTCGCTCGGGTGGACGCACGGCCGCCAGCGATGCGTTTGGAGCTCCCGCGCGCGCTCACCTGGCTGGCCGCCCGGGCCTAGGCGCGGTGAGGCCGGCCTGTCCCGTGCCCGGCGCCACAGCCCGCACGGTGACCTACCTGGCCGCGGGCAAGGAGGCCTGGCTGTGGGTGTCAGCGCTTGGCCTCGCTCAGCCTCGTGGCGTGCCTCTGTTATCCCAGGGCCCTGGGCTGGATTCCACCTTCCACCCAGGGGATGTTGTTATTTCACGTGTGAGAAGGGGAAGTCGAGGCCCAGAAAAAGTTAAAGGCCCCTCCGGAGCCCTGACACCCAAAAAACCGGGTGCAGAACTGGAGCCCAAGCTACCTGGGAATTCTGCAGCCTCCAGCAGCGCTTTGCACATAGTAGGCACTCAGTAAACTTACAGAGTGTCTGCCCAAGCCAAATCCCTATTGGGGAACTGGAAGAGTATGGTGGGCTGGGGAGGGTTGCCCTTGGAGCTTTTCCAGCCATGAGAGGCCTTGGGGCCCTGAGCCTATTGGGGTGGGGGGCGGGGGGCTGAAAAACCTGGGAAAAGGGGGCCGGGGGAGTGGCTCAGTTGGTTAAGAGCAGGAGCTCTGAGCAAAAGGGTAGAGGGTTGGATTCCCACTTGGGCCAGTGACTCTGAGCCCCCCCCCCCAGCTGAGCTGCCGCTGAGCTGCCAACAGGTGGCAGGATGGCTCAGCTGGTGAGAGCATGCACTCTTAGCAACAAGGTTGCCTGTTGGACTCCACATGGGATGGTGGGCTATGCCCACCCGCAACTAAGATTGAACACCACACCTTGAGCTGAGCAGCAGCGAGCTGCCCAGGGACGGATGGCGACTGGACTTGGAGCTGAGCTAGCTGCGCCCTCCGCAACTAAGATTGATGGACAACAACTTGGCTGTTCCCCTTCCCCAACTCCCCAACACTGTTCCCCTTTCCCAATTCCCAAATAAAATAAAATAAAATAAAACACTGGGAAGGGAAGGTCTCCCGGAGACTGGAGTGGTGATAGGGGCCTGCACTTGAGGAGGCTGTGAAGGCACCTGGGTGGGAGGGCATGCCAGCCACTGAGAGAAATGGGGCCTCTTTTAGGTTTGAAAGGGAGGTTCTAGAGACACAGGCCCCAAAGGGGGAGTGCTGGGGCACAGTGCTACTATAGTGGAGAAGGAATGGGGAACAGTGAGAGATGGCCTGTGACCACCACTTTGTGGAAGAAGAAACTGAGGGCTGGAGGGCATCAGGCACCTGCCCAGGGCCCAGCAGCCAGGCGACAACAGCACCCATCTCAGGCAGCTCACCCCCAGCAATCACTTGGTCCGTGACTGTTTCACTGTGGGCTGTGGATGCACAGTGTCCTGATGTCCATTCTGGCTGGCTGGACAACCTCTCTCACCCACCTTACAGGGTCCCAGTGTTGTCTGATCCGATCTCGCCTGAGGGGAGATACACTGGACCTTCTTCACTGCTCTGCCCCTTTTTGTGGCAAATGCATCAGCTGTCACAGCACCCCATATATGCCCAATCTTTTTCTTACCATCCTGCCTTTGCCCATGCCCTCTGTCTGGGAGACCCTTTCCAGCCCCACCCCCATCCCCTTTTTTTTTCCTAGCCTGTTGTTTACCCTAGTCTCCCATGTCCTCTCCTTCACTGGGAGCCTTCCCACTTTCTTCCAAGGCCCAGTGCCCTCACTCGTCTCCTGCAAGGCATTGCTATTCA